GGTCATGATCCCGGGGCCCTGGGATGGAGCCCCACATCATGGTCCCCGCTCAGCAGGAAGTCTGCTTCTCCCTCTCTCTCCCTGGCTTGTGCTCTCTAATAAATTTAAAAAGAAAAAGAGAGACCTTGATGTCACTCCTCATGCCTCAAGTCAGAAGTCGATGTCATCGTTAGAACTCTTTGGTAACAAGTAAAAGGAACCAATTCACACTAGCATAAGCAAAAAGAAAAAAGAATGGAGAGAGATCTCCTGGAACCTAAGGATGAAAATGCAGCCACCATTCAGGAAGGCACTAGGACAGGAATCAAGACACCTTCCTAATTTTCCATCTCACGTTTCTCTCTCTTTAGGCATCTCCTTAACTCTTCTCCCTCCCTGAATACCAGCCAACCCTGCTTCCCTGGTCCATGTGGTGAAATATGGCTAGCGCGTAACTTCTCCAACTACATTCTTCAAGTGTAGTTTCTACTAGATTTAAAAAGTAACCTGTTGGCTCTCAGTCCAGTCCCAGCTTCCAGCCTTGGCTAAATCCATGTGCACTCCCCCTGTACCCAGTGGTTCAGCATGGATGCCAAGGATGGGGTCGGGGTGGTAGGCTCACAACCAGACAGATATCTCAAGTTCAGTATTACAATTCTAACCCAAGTGTCCCGAGTTTAGCCAGACAAACCCCCGAAAAAGAAAAGTGAATAGGCATGCAAACTAGGTGTAATTGGCCTCACTTGATGTGCCCGGTTTTTATCAGTGCTTCTGAAGTTTCCTCCACTTCGGTCAAACCGTTGCTGGCTTCCTGCCTCAGGTTAGAGGGCATCTGGATGTCCTGGAAGCCTCTGTGAACAAGATCACTCGTCTTACCCTCTGCATGTTCCATTTTTCCACATCAAACGTACTCGTTACAAAATTGTGGATTTTCTCATAAAACCACCTTCTGGAAAGAAGCATTGGATTATTAGCTCTTCTCCAACAGCTGCTTTTTCTTCTCGTAGACCCCTGTAGGTATAAGCTAAAGCTTCCTTCTTATAAGAAATGCTTGTCATAAGAGAGAGATGAATGTGAAAGTGCCTTTTTCTGGACCCTCTGTCTACTGCTAGGGGGATTATTTAAACATGAAGAAATTTCATGATGGTTTGAAATCGACTACCCCCTCCATCTCCAAGTGCTTCTGGATCACTTCCCCAGCTGTTTAAAAAGTTGTTGAGCCATTAACTGCCGCTGAGGCTGCTCTGAGCTCCCTTTGAAATAGGGGTCCCCCAGCTGCAGTACATAATATTAATGAGCAGTAAGTGCCTGCTGCTTCCTCCACCAACCCCTTCTGGGCTCTGACTAGCGCTGTTGCTGCCTCTGCATGCCCTCCTGGCCCTTCGTGCCTCCCAACTGATGGATGCCCCTGTCAGCATTTCTGTTTCCACTGACTGGGTGGCTTTAAATCAGCCTCCTCCAAGAGCACACAGGTTAGGGAAGCTCCTTGCCTTCCTTGGTGCCCTTTGCTCATGCGGCCCCAGTGTTCTTCACAAAAAGCAGTTCTCATCATCTGACCCATTGTACAGATGAGCAGCAGGGACAGGATCCAAATCCCATAAAAGAGGGAAGAAGTAGGTCCTGAGTCCTTAAACCTCAGTTTGCAGCGGGAAAGAAGCAAGGGTCCATATTCACTCCCTCTAAAACAAACACATAATTAAGTATTCCCAAGGCAAATAAGCAACTACAGAAGGGTTGTCCTCTTATGCATTTAATGACAAGTAAATGCATGAGAGGACATTTCCTCCCCTTCCCAAAAGGAGCAAAAAAAAAAAAAAAGCTTTAAGAATTGTAGTGTATAGGATTCTACTTTATAAATCAGTTTCCTAAGTGAGCAGGTTACTTTAATTGCTATAAGAAAATGAAAATATGATTTTGCTTTTTCATTTCAACAAAAGGAAGTGGCTGATTTCCGCAGCATTAACACATGACCCAGTTTCCAGTGCTTGGTTAAGGGTTAAGTTGGGATCTTGCCCCCTGGGTCGTTGGGTTGAACAAGCGTGGCCTTGACTCTTCCTCTCCTTGAAGGAAGCATTATATGGGAATGGAAGCATAACACCTAACACCTGTATTGCCACCATGTGCCAGGCACTGCTCTTGACAGCTTGTGTCGACGCAGTTAATTAACCCTCACACAACCCTCTGAGGGAGGGACCATCTGATGAATAACGAAGCTGAGAAGTGACTTGCCCAAGATCACACAGCTGTAAAAATAGCAGGTGCAGAATTCAGACCCAGGCAGTAGGGATCTAAAACCCATAGGTTTAGTTTTGTTGTTGTTGTTGTTGTTTTTTAAATCACTAGGTGGATCCTCTCTATGGTGCATTTGTGTCCCATAGGGAACTAGGAATTCTACTTCTTGTCCCCCACTACGCTAACAGAGCTAAGCAGATGGAACGTCTCCTCTCTGAGGATGACCAATTCTGTCTCTATCTCCTGAAAAGGAGCTAACCTTCCACCCAGCTCCCAGGACTGTTTCAGAGAACGTACCGAATTTGCGTTGCAACTCATAAATGCAAAAAATTTGAACCTCCACGGCCGCGGTCCCTCAGCCTCCCGAAGGATGTTTTCTCCAGCATGGAGGCTGATAGGCCACCTAGACTTATGGACACAGACTCCTTAAGGGTAGATCCCAGGAATCTGGATTTCTAGGAAGCGCCCTGGTGATTGTTACACAGAGGAGAGGTTGACAGGCATTACGGATTGCAGCTGGAAGTTTTCGGAGCTCCGAGGTAGCATCCGCTGAGTTGCAGGCGATCACAGAAAGCCTTCAGAGCCTCTCTGCGTTCAGTTGCTCTTTCAGGGAGGCTGTAATATGTAAGAAGTGCTCCAATTTGCTGTAGCCTCCATCTTTGTGAACCAGCTGGTTGAGAGAGCTTGGATAATTTCCCAAGGGACTTTAGGGAAGTGGACCCTGGTACACCCTTTACCTATGAAAACGTAGAAGACACATTGTTTTCCACCCTGGACCCAAAGTGACTCTTTCAGAATGTGACTCTGATCATCTCTTTTGCTGAAAACCCTTCCAAAGAGCCTTAACATCAACTTGTATCTACTGGCCATGCCCATCCCTCCCGCTTTTCCGTCAGACATGCTCACTCACCGCTCCATTCTTCCTATGCACCAAGTACCGCAGCATCATTCCACGTGGCTCCGGGGCAAATCCTGTACCCCAGCATCTGATCAGCTCCCACTCTTCCTTCAGAGCTCAGCTTAAGTGGCGCTTTCTCAAGGAAGCCTTGAGAACAGAACGTTCTGTTCTCTAGCACTTCTAGCCCATTTCTGCATGGCACCCACCACGGTTTTCCAGTCTCCTTTTGACAGTGGGATGCCGTTATTCAAGTCCGTCTTCGCAAGCAGGTGATAAGCAAGAACCATACTGCCTTGTGCACTTTGGTGTCTAGCAGAGCGTCTGCTGCAAGTTCAAGTAACATCCTGTAGGAAAGAAGGTCTTGATTCTCAGTCTAAAATTTAACATGCATTCTATAAACAAAGATGTCCCATTTTTCATTTCTACCCCTGTCATTAAACAGCCATGGAAATGGAATGTCTGAACCCCAATCTTCGTGTGTTCTAGATCCCTTTAATGAATGTGTCAACAGCTCTCATCCTGATGCTATTTTTGAATTGCTCCTAGCGTGGTTATACAGTCATTAGTTGTTAAAGGGAAACTTAATGAAAGTGGAAATTTCTCATTTTGAAGAGCCACAAAGTAACTAATTATTTATTTTCTCTTTTACTTCAAAGGCTGAGATGGTTTCTTTTCTTTTTTTTTTTTTTTTTTTTTCCTGAGATGGTTTCTTACTTTTGAGTAGGATAAGGAGCACATGAACCGAACTGGTGATTCGATGGGTTTTATTTAATTTTATTTTATCATCACTTTCAAGTGTACCTTTGGTCAGCTCTATGAACTATCGGGCTTATCTTTTATGAAACACACCTTATTCCAACAGTGATTTGATCATGATGACGTTTGGTTTTAAGCTAATTTTGACATGAGATGATAAATTCTAGGTGTCCCCACATTACAAATCTGTTAAAAGCTAGAATTGTTCATCTCCTAAGACCTACGTAGCATTTCACAAACTGTGGACATTTTAAATTATTATAAAACCCTGTTTTCTGGGTATTTGAACTAAAAAAAAAAAATGACATCCCACATGATACATATATGTCAAAATCTAGCAATTATAAGTGGCTGTTTCCCCACGAGTTTCTTTAAATGCCTCCCTGAAGAAGCTAGTGCCAGTGACCTCCCAGGTTCTCTCCTGATGAAACAGAGTCTCATTTTATGCATTAGAGCAGAAAAGAACGAGAAGGATTCAGGCAGGCTAGTGAGCAAAGCAGCCCCGAGGATTATGGATCACGCCTCATACAGTTTAGATCACACCTTCCTCGCGTGGTCGCCTTCCAAAAACCAAAAATCTCACAGTCATATCAGATAAATCTGTGGGAAACGATAGATAATATTAGCTAACAATGGCGTTTCATGCCTACACTATTCTTACCACTTTTATATGAATTACCTCCGTCCACACAACAAGCCAAGGAACTAGGAACTGTGAGTAAGCCCACTTTACACACGAGAAAAACCAAGACAGAGTTTATCCCAGCCACACGGCCGTTGAGCTATTTTGGAACCAGGATTCTGACTCAGTCGGCCTGGCGCAAAGCACCCACTCCTACCGATCAAAGTCGACTACCTCCCAAACACAGTTTTATTTAAAAGCAGTGAAATCAGGAAGCTTGGCCCTGCCTGCGTGCTTTCTCTCTTTCCCCTTTGGAGGATGGGGGTGGGAGGCACATTTTGTTTTGTTTTGTCAGAAAGAAGAAGCTGAAAGTGAGCCTGCTCTCTTCCCGAACGTCTTTTCCCAAAGCCATTGCCTTCGTCGGAGGCCAGGAAGGACACTGATTCAGAAGACAGAGCACTAATGAGCTTCCTTCCCGCTTTGTCCCTTCCCCTGTCTCTCCCCACTCTGCAGTTAATAGCCAAGATCCCCACCATCACGGCGGTCTGCAACTTGCACGGGGAGAAGCTGCAGGTATTCAAACAATCACATCCAGACATAGTGAACACCCTCTTTCCTCCATTATACAAGGAGCTCTTTAATCCTGACTGTGCCACCGTCTGCAAATGAAGGCGACCAGAGGACTATCTCCTAGTCACGGAATGCATCACCATTAAGACAAAAGCAATGTGTTCATGAAGACTTAAGAAAAATGTCTACTGCAACATTAGGAATGTCCTGCACTTAATAGAATTATTTTTCACCGCTACAGTTTGAAGAATGTAAATATGCACCTGAGTGGGGCTCTTTTATTTGTTTGTTTTTGAAATGACCATAAATATACAACTAGAGGACACTGGGTGTTATCTTTTTTTTTTTTTTAATTTTATTTTATTCGGGTATGTTTTGGGAGACAACTGTTTATAGAATTTTATTGTAGATATATACGAGAACAGAGCGGTACTTTACATGATTACTTTTCCTGTTAATTGTTCAAATATAATTTAAGAAAACTCCACTGAATAGGTTTACCTATTTCTATGTTTTTAGATAGTTGATGCATGTGAAAATGTGTAGCTGTCTTGGAAAGCACTGTGCAGGTATGTAATAAGTATATAATATCCGAGAATATTATATATGATTATTACTTACACCTGCATGTGCACTGTGGCTTAAAACACCATACCCACTAGTGAAGGAGGTTCAGTCAGGCTCCCTCTTATTATTTCCCTTCTGTGTTATCTTTATGTTAGACAATCAGGATTTTGTTTTCCCAGCCAGCTATCGTCTACAGCAGGATGGTACCGATTCAGAGATAAGTCTGTGAAGGAACAAACGTAACACCCAGCCTCTGAGTAAGAACTCTAGCTCTCTCAGTGACATCAAAGCCTTGTCAGGATGGTAAATATTGTGGGGGGGAGGGGGGGGAAAGGAAGTATTTGGAGCCATTTTCCTGTTGTAAGAATTAGGCCACAGATAATATTGTGGAGTCCAGAACTTTTTTTAACCAAACAATCACTGTTTCCTATTTTTCACCAAGACACGCAAAACACTTTTTTCTTTGGATTTTAGGCTGGGAAAGAAACTGATTTTGGTGCTCATTATATCTTCAGCAGAGAAACACAGTCTGTAGGTTTGATCACCAGCAATTTTTTCTAATAAAATTAGAGTCAAGGCAGAAATCAGAAGCCAGGGTCCAGATGCCATTTCATGTCAACATGTCCTCTCTAACCTGTTTTGGTTTGCGTTTTTTGGGGCGGTTTAGGTTTTTTGTTTTTTGGGGTTTTTTTTTTTTTTTGGTGTGTTGTTTTTTTGGTTTTGGCAAAGAAGAGGTAGAAAGAGCACCTACAAAGTATAGAAGTATTTCTTTATATGCATTCCCTTTGCCAAGTTTGTTAGAAAAAGCAGCAATAAAGGGGGAGGCAGGATTTTATATGTCCTAGTGTGGGGCCTCTAATTTCTCAACTCCAAAATGCTACACTGTAGGCACAGAGCAAGAACTTGACAGATAAGGAAAACACATCTGAGTTATTCTGTACAACTAATACACCCCAAAGCCAAAACTATTTCCCATGTGGTTTGAAATCGCATCATCCATCTAGCCTGGGCTTAACTTTTTTTTTTTTTTTTTAAGCAATTTGTGCAAAGCACAGAGTGCAAGAGGCAAGACGAAGCTTAGTGAATTCAGACTTCCTAGGACAAGCCTCCCCTCTCCACCTGCTCTCCAGCCGAGTACCAGGAAAGCATAAACCCCAAGCAGCTTGTTCGGCTTGGGCTCTGGAGGCCGGATGTCTTGGGTCTTAGTGGATCCAAAACAATAGTTCTTAAAAAGGAAGCTAGAACTAAGCTTTGTGTAAAAGACAATGACACGCACCATGTCCCGGAAGCATAGCGCAGCTGCCCGCTCTCGAGGCCCCGCCCTCTCCTCCTCGGCAAACGCACCCGCACGCATGCGCGCACACCTGCTTTGAAAAGTTTCCATCAGTGGAAACTTTGATTTCCTTTTCACCTCCGACGCTCTCCTAAAGTTACACGGGCTTGAGAGCCATCTCCGCGATGCCACCGCACCCCTCCTTGATGATCAGACAGTAGCGCTAGTCTTTTCTTCTAGAAAACAGAGCCTTTTCCCACCTCATGATTGATGAATTCCAAACCAATGGGGAAAAACAAAAAGGCTTTAAAATAATGCCTCTCTTTCTCAACTACTGTTATATTCAATTAATTTAACTACATTGAACCAAATTACCTTCGGTGTCTAAGAAGACAGCTGCGCACTGCGTGTTATGCTGCTGCGGGGACTTGGTTGTTTCTGGTGTAAATGTCACTCCTGCTAGCTCTTTGTATAAAGAATTAATTCCAAGAGTCATATTTCCTTCTAATGGAAAGATTACTTTACTGATTGCTAGGAAAACAGGGTAATGGAAGGCACTCAATTAAACCAAGCCGTTTCCAAATGCAATGTATGTTTTATGATTGGCTTGTGATAGGCAACGCTTAATGTATCTACTTGGTGTTTCCCTTTGAGCTTTGAACTTATGTCAAACTTTGCTTTCATCGTTCTGTCGGCCTCGTGTTTTCCGTTGTTGGCCTGTAATTCCTGCTCCGTTGCAAAGGGAATCATTTGTTTCCTCCGGTCTACCTTCGAGGATTTAAATTGGCTCAATTGATGAAGTGGCTGAGAATTTTTTCCTCCCTCGTCCCATGGGCGATGTAGGAAAAGGATTATTTCCCACATGTGCCTCAGGAGGTACCAGATTTGAATTTGTTTGTCATTTCTACCAGTGCGAGCATTTCACTGGGACAGCAGGAACCTTTTGAAGTGAGGGCACAGGAAACAGCAAGCGACTGAACGAGAACAAAACAGTGGCAACCAGTACACGCTCAGGCCACTTCAGCTGAGAAGAGAGATTTCCATTTTGCGCCCCAGTTGCCAAATCTGTCCCTGAAAAGAGAACCAGGTCGTATCTTCGGTGGCGACATAGGCCTTTCCAAGCTGCCTTTTGAACATCTCCTATGACCACATCTCAAGGTATTTTGAAATTTGGTTGAGAACAACTTTGTGTACCACATGCAATTTTTGTCCCTTCCCTGTGAAGACGCGCAGGGGTCCCCACCACCTTCATGATACAATGCACACTGGACCAGAGAACCCACGATCTGTACTCTTCACTTCATGCTTCGTAAATGACAATCACTGCTTGGTGCAAATAGTGCACTGTACCCACTCAGGGATGTTTCATTAAAAAAAAAAAAATACATCACGAGGTGGGGGGGAGTAAAACAGGAAAATGACAACAAAATGTAAACGGCATAAATTAAATATGCCAATAAGAGAACCTCTCTGACAAGGCTTTCAGAACAATAAGCAGTAACTTCGTGTCGTTAACTGTGGACTTGCTGGAAAGTTGCGCACGAATAAGGACAACTTGGTCTCATTTTCTAAAATCTGCTAAGAGCCAAATAATCGAGCTGCCCTGTTAATAGGAATATGTGTCTCCCGAGCAAACCCAAGTTTCCTACACAGGTCCTGAGTGGGGAGAATACAGAAATCTAAGTGGCGTTAGCGGACTCTGCCAGGGGAGGTAAAGCTGTGCGAATTCAAATTCCAGCATATCTGTGATCTGGAAGAGGAAAGGCAAATTTTGGAGGGAATATAGGAAAAGAAAGAGTTCCAGATCTGGCTTAGTCCACCACACATACTCCTACTGTCCACAACTTGGGTCATCTTAGTATCCCTAATTCTGTGCCCCCCGCCCCGCCCCAGAGAATGAAAGCTGAGGGTAGAGATGTACTATGTTCTCTCTACAAACATACCCCTTCTGGATTTCCCTCATTTGAAAACTGTCTTCAGAGCTCTGGAATAAAGGAGCACTGTGTAGGTATAAACAGAATATAGTGGTCTCTAGGGTAATGCGACTTCTTGGGTGGAATCTGCGACACCTTAAATCACAGGGAACTCTGGACGTTAGTAGCAGGAGGTTCCAGGGACAAACCAGTACATTTCTCGCTGCCTTGTTCAACACCTAACTTCACAGCAGTCAAGCTAAACTGTCCGTAGAAAACCACACACATGGCTAGTCCACTCACGCTCACTGTCCACAATCCCATGTGTACCAGGCTTGAATGCAAAAGTGATTCTTTCGTCCCAAGGACAACCTAAAACGTAACCAGCTTTTTTCAAAAACATCAGATGCAAATGATGTCCGTTTTGTTGCATTTGCTTTGTTTCCATGTATTACAGAAGGAAAAATTCCACCGCCGTTGGAAATTAGAAGAAATAACTTTTTCCTGACTCTCTTTTCTCTGTAAACATTTGCTTCCAATGAAGTTGCCACAGTTGGCAGCAAATTCAGGCAAGGATGCCTGTGCCTGACAGAGCCGCCCTTCAACAGAACAGCAAGAGCTGGAAAGTTTGCGTCTGTAGTGAACCTTTGCACAGAGTCCCCTGGACCAGGAAGACCAGAGCACACCATCTGCTTTAGATGAAGCGGTATTTGATTTTTTTGTTTCTGACTGCCGATGAGAGCCACAGCCTGGTATGGAAAACCACGTGGGTCATTAGACGGAAGCTGACAACCTATTTTTTGGGAGGGGCGTGGGGACAGGTCTCGGGACCCAGAGGTACATGTTCATTTGAAGCAAGGGTTAAAAATTCCAAAGCCTAAAAGGGCCAGGGAGTTGATGCAAATGAGCGAAAGCAGTCCAGCCGCCAGCTGGCAAGGAAGTGCCCCATCTGAAAGGGGACATCCGATGGCCGGCTAAAGCCCAAGTGTCACTAACGCTTCTGAATCTTACAATATCTCTCTGGTTGGAAGGGATGTCACTTGACTCAGAGCTGAGAACAGACCAAACAAATACACCTCCGAGCAGAAGAGGGTCCACTTTATAACCTCTGGTTTAAAGCAAAATTGAATCTCGGGTCCTGTTTCCTGGAATAAGTTTGGCCAGACAGGACTCCGCATGAGAGGGGCGGGGGTGCGGAGCTCAGTGGGGTTTCCACATCTGACTGTCACTCCCAGCAAGAGTTCAGCTGGAAAAACAAAAGTAGTCGGAAAAATGCAAACGATCCCATTTAACGATGGCTCATAAGAGACATCTCTCTTTGTCTCGCCCAAACTCCTAGCTTCCTAGAGCCAGGTGGCTCGATCTCTCACCACTTTTTTCTGAACACCAAACGCACGATTTTTCCGCTTTTCAGTCTTGATGTGTCTCTTCTGATGTGTGGCTTCGATATCTGTGGCACGTTTTTACTTTCCCTTAGTTGTGTCTGCAGAATGTATTCATGGTCATGATCACGCAGTCCCCCGTGTTCTGAAGTGCGGGACCCGGGATTCCTATGCAGCAGGTGGAGGTCGTCTGTTTGTGCACTTTTTGCCTAAG